TTAACATTGATCTTCATGAGCAATTAAAGATTTGTCATTCTAAGATCAAAGAACTGACCTCTGTTGAGGAAAATCTTAAGGATCAGGTTATTGTAAGCCAGGCCATCACTGTTGAACGTTGAGATTTCCAACTCTGTATCTAAACAAGAGTTCCAACTGTTCCAAAGCTGCATTCTCAAGAACATTGAGATTTTGTCTCAAAAGATAATTGAGGTGTAAGCTCAAACACAAGCCACTATATTAAGCCACCTATCCACCCTCAAGTAGTCCCAAATGGATCATCCTAATAGATAAGCCCAAATACATACACCAAGCTAACCCCCAAGTGATCCATCTGCTTCTCAATAAAATTCCATCCTTGCCATCCGTAAAGCCTATATTCCTAACACTGAATATTTTTCCACCTCTGCTCAACTCAATGAAGTCAAGGAAGACATGGTAGATCTAAGGTACATGACCATGCTAATAAGGAGGGATCTTAAGGAGATTAGTTGCAAGGAGCAGGATGGCTCATCCAAGAGGAAGCATGATGACCAGGATGATTCTGATCATCATGAGGGGGAGAAGATGATGAGGCTAGAGAAGCCTATGGGATTGCCAAAGAGATCTAGCAATGAAGGGGGAGCAGGGGGAGTGTTAGAGGATGAAGAAACAGAAACATTCCAAGAGGAGACTGAGGTAGAAAAGATAGTTGGACCTGAGTTGGTACAAGAAGAGGATATGGTTGATGTGATTGAAGGAACAGTCCAAATGGTAATTGATGAATTCAATCATGCAGAGCAGAAACATATAGAAGAAACTGAAGCTGATAACATTCCTAGTTCTGACTAACTGCATAGATTAAATTGGTATTAATTACACTAGGTCGGTAGTACCGCACCAAGAGTGCAAACTTGGTTAGTACACAGTATTGGAAGTCCCGTACCATGGTACCGACTTATTTAATTAGTTATTAGTTTTAATATTCTTTAGGTATTTAATATAAAAAATTACAGTTTTAACTATTTTATTTGAACGTTTGAATGTTTGTAAATTATATTTTTTACAGCCCTTAAACATCATATGTGTAACCTGAAATGTCAGTTCATATATGTAACTTCTTAAGGCTAGTACAAAACGAATATCAACCAAAAAAGTATACCAAGTATAGTTAGTTAGTACACAATACAAATTTATGTATACCAATTATCATTGAGACAAAAGATCGTGTGAGAAAAAGAGTTAAGGTGAGAATCGTAATAATAGATTTGAACCATTGATCACTTTTCATCTCGATGTCCACCAATGAATTACGCATCATAAGGAAATTAATCTGGTGCATCTCGATACATCTCATTTATGTTGACATTCAATTAGAATTGATCCAATAATATAGATACTTTCTTAAGCTTCCCATAATAACTTTTTTTCTCACCAAAACTCGATCATTATAATGAACCAAATCCACTCATAAAAAACTTTCTATTTTTATCTAATCAAAAAAGACCACCAAGAGATGGTAGAGTAATCAACACAAAATACATTAAAATCCAACTTTTTTTTAATTTTTCAGTTTTAACTCTTTAATATTTTTAACTTTAATTCTTCAACTTTTTTAATATTTTCATATTATATTCCTTATGTTCCTAAATTAAATAATTAACTACAAGGGTATAAAGTGTAAATATTAAAAATATTTTTTCACAGTATATATGATATAATAATATAATTAAATCTAAAATATTCAATATTGGGTTTATTTCAAAGGTATTGACGAGACGATTATAATGGTGTAACTTGTTAAAATTAAAACGTATTTTTTAATGTATTTTAGTTTATATACGATTATGTACGTTAATATGATAAAGATATAAAAACGAAAAATGAAAAAAATGAGTGACATAAAACAAAAGAAAAATTTTAAGAAAACTCAATGGATTTTAGTGTTTGAAATGGTTAAGTATCTAGACAATTTTTTTGGAACAAATAACTCCTTATACATTCTTAACCATGTTAAATAACTCTTTGAACTTTCTAAAACCTGTTAGGTACATCCTTATGAGTTATACAACTGGTTAATATGGTAAAATAATTGAAAAAGTTTGGAAAAAAGCTAATTGACTTTCATATTTTGAACGATTAAGTTCCTAAATATTTTCTGAACAAAAAAAATATTTACATATATAAAATGAAACAAATATACCAAAAAAAATATTTATGTTTACAAAAAAGTACTTATATTTAAAAAAGATTATTGATGAAACTTATTTTAATTAAAAATAAAATATATTATGTCAGTGATTTTTCAAATAAAAAAAACTTAAAAAGAATTATTGATTAAACTTATTTTAATTAAAAATAAAATATATTATGTCTATGATTTTTCAAATTAAAAAAATAAATAAAGATTTTAAAAAAATTATTGATTAAACTTATTTTAATTAAAAATAAAATATATTATGTCTATGATTTTTCAAATTAAAAAAATAAATAAAGATTTAAAAAGGGTTACTGGTAAAAATTATTTTAATTAAAAATAAAATATATTCCGTTGGTAATTTTTTTAATTAAGCAAATAGAAAATAATTTAATTAAATTAATGATGGATTAACGATAAAATTTAACTAAATACATAATTAATTAAAATTCGTCGCTAATCCGTCGATAAAATGATATCACCGACAAAATTCAAACACAATTTTTCACATTTATTAACATATTACTGTGTTTGAACGCCTGACGGTAGTCAAATTAGCTATCAATTAGATATAAATAATTCATGCATATATATATATCAATAAATACTAGTGAGGAATTTTAGTTAATTATGTATATAGTTAAATTTTATCATAATCCGTCTATAATTTAATCAAATTATTTTCTATTTTTTTTATTTGAAAAATCACCAACAAAATATATTTTATTTTTA